GGAAACAAGTGACTTTTCAAGACCTCTTCATACACTTCTCCATTTAAATTGGTGGGCAGAAAATGAGGTCCAATTAAATATCCATCAATGATCCCCATCCACACATTGACTGAAAACCGTCTCTGAGACCCCGTCGGTCTTATTTTTCGGGGGTTTAAAGCTTCTTTATCAGCCCAGTAATGAGCATTATGGTAGTTAGTGATCCCGTCCTTATCAAACTTCGATTCATGGGTCCACAGAATTTTCTTAAAATAGTCTGGATCTTCTGTGTCTGCATGTAACATGTACCTGCAGAAATCTAATCGTCTTGCAGGATCGCCCTCTTCAATCACATGCACAGGCGTGTAGTGATAAGGGTATAATCTTGCAGTATGCTCAGTAAACCATACTTTGTATTGTGATATACCGAACTGAGCAGCCACAATGCGCGTAGACGCAGTAGGGTATTCCTGAAACACACGAAGGATTTCCTCTTCATCTTCAGGAGGATAGACTCGGGGTCGACCAGCATCACTATGTTGCCTTTGAACACGTCTGGTTTGGCTGATGCGCCGATACACAGAGTCAAACACAGTAACATGAGGTGTTCGGCGATTCGGGAAACGTTGCCGATATTCACGGCGGGCAGCTGCAGAATCGCCGTGTCCATAACAGAACATTATGGGTGAGGTGAGTATTTACTTACGAGAAAAGTGTTGTCTTGAGAGTTGAAGCAAATGCTTGGCAATGAGTGAATAATTGTAAGGCATGACTCAGAAAGGTCTACTTGTTAATATTGAGGTAATACCTGCAGCACGTGCAAGACTTAGCTTGTTTATCCTTATTCACATATTTAAATCGTCCTATTTACGAGTATTTGCTTTGTAAACCTTACGCGTCGTATAAATCTCTTTAGGTTTCTGTATATTTTTGTTCAACTAAGTTATTTTTAATTCGGCCACAAGAAAGCTCAAGATTACTAACAATTAGGATGTCTTCTAGTGTCGAAGAAAGTAAACAACCGAAACTTGTTTCTGATAACCGAGCACAGCTAGTCAGAATCTTGCAGCTAGAAATCAATAAAATAGTACTAAATAAGTCAATGGTACCAAAAATGGTTTCAGCAAAAGAAACTGCCTGGATGATAATTAGAGAGGAATTCATAAAATATACAGGGAAAAACGTAACTATAGATCAGTTGAAAAAACTTCTTAACAATATGAAAAGCACTGTTAAGAAAAAAACTCAACAGGAAATAAACCAATCAAGTAACTTCAATGGGAAAAAGATTTTCGAGAAATTTTAAATGCTGAAGAAAATAGTAAATTACCAGGAGCAATAACAGTTGGGCTAGATTCCAGTAATAAATGTGTTTTACTTTCCACACAGTTAAATGTAAGCGAAGCAACAACAGAAACAAGAAAGGGTAGTCGGCAGAGACATATTTTACGCAAAGAACATGCTGCAGATATTTCTTCCGTGTCCAGTGGCCACAATTCTAAAAAACAAAGGTTGTTAGCAGCAGAAACAGAAGAAACTGTAGGTTTATCAACTCCAGAACTTCAACACTTAGTACTACTAGAGCAGTTGAAACTAACTAGACTACAAAGTGAAAAAGAGGAACTCCAACTGAAAAACCTACGTCGGCAAGAAGACGAAGCTATTAATACCCAAAAGAATGACGATTCTTTAGTTAATTCGGAATTTAGGTTGTTTTGTTAAAGTAAGTTTTCTAACACACTTATGAATAATTAGAATTTATCTATAATTTCTCATGTATAATATGTATCAAAACTTTTGGTACGAGTAGATATAGTACCGTGTTAATTAGAATAACTGTATTTAAGAGCTACATGATTTTTATTTGATACCTATTACCTATGATAAATATGTTGGAAACATATTTTGTTATTTAAATTGAATTAAACTGATTCATTATTTGGACTATTTCTAAGCGCTTTTCTTCACCAAGACGTCTAATGTCTCCTTGCTCTTGTTCAACAATTTCTGGGACAGCATCATGATCATCGTTATTATTTTCTATTCCATAGTCCCACTCATCCTGCAACTTCTTAGCAATATTATGAACTACAGCACAACATATGATTATTTTCGGTACGTTCCTTATTGCGAGTCTAATCATATTTGCTAGAAGTGGAAAGCGCTGTTTTAGTTGGCCAAATACACGTTGTATTACAACTCTTTCTTTTGAATGTAATCTGTTGTACCGCCGTTCTAATTCAGTTTGTGGTTGTCTAAATGGTGCTAAAAGCCATGGAGATATACCATATCCGCTGTCCCCTAGCAAGCAAGCATTCCCTTTTAATCTTGCAAGTCTTTGTTGAACAGCACTTTGTCTCCAAATGCTACTATCGTGCACACTTCCAGGCCATTGCACGTCTATACTTGTGATCCTTTCCATTGCATCACATGTCATCTGAACATTTAATGAAGCAACATTTTTTCTATTTATGTACTTACTCATCGCCAAACTGCCCTTCAGGTTTTTTAATTTGTATATGGGTACAATTAAGTGCGCCAATTACGGTGGGAATCCTGTATTTTGCCATCCAACTTGTCTTTGGTTCGTTTAAATCTCGATCGGTTGTTGGTAACACTTTCCATTGACCTGCCTTCTCCATAACTTTTTGTGCAACATAATCTACAGTCTTACGAACTGTTGTTCTTTCAATACCAAAATCGTTTGCAACACCACTTTCAAAACCAGGGTCACTAATATACCGGAGAAATATTTCAATATATTTTCTTGAGGACAGAGCACCACCTCGAGTTTCGTTGGTTTCTGGTAAGAAATAGTTTGTAATGAAATCGATATTTTCATTTTCAAACCTTTAAAGACGTTTTGCACTATTTGGACTTATATCTTTTCGATCACGATATTGTTTAACTTTACGTATATTCATAAATGCTGCCATAATTTAGACACCTCAAATTATCAATTGCGGCAAGGTAACATTAAACCAACCTTGCGAAAATGAAAGTATTTACTTAATATGTAAAATCTTCTATTGCTGTTATTCACTCCAATCGTAAGTGAACACTCAAAATAGTTACTTTAGGAGTAATAACTCGTGATAGCAAGTGTTTGCTTGACAAGTACAAGTAAAAGTTTTATTAATCACTTACTACCAAGAATTTACTTTACAATTATGAAGTAAAAGCATTTACTCTCTTTTATTCACCTCACCCTATGTCTGCGTATTCTTCATTTGTAAAAGTTTGCCCGTAATCGCTATGGCGAGGTCCTGGCGGATCTTCTGCGTCAGCCATGATGATAAAGAAACCACTGGAAATGAACTGGGAAACTCGAAAATAATAATCGTGCGTAAAACGTGTGCGCGTACGCAGTAGTTGATACCAACTAACTACAATGATGAATAATAACAGCTCTCTCTCTCAGTCCTCCACTAAGTCAGCTCTTCTCGCTCGCTTCCTCGTCGAGCCGATGCCATAAAACAATCATGGCATGCGAGTCCTTTGAGGACAGTAACGACTTGTTCAAACAGGTAATACAAATTCCTTATAAATCCAGCCTCTGTGGGTGTCATTGTTGTTTCTCTGCATGTACTTCAAATAATTGAACGCTTAATACCTCAAATGAAAGCTTGTTACAAGAGATATTATTTACATAATTTGCAAATTTCATTACTAGGAGATTTTTTACAGAAAATTGCATTTTTTATCGAGTAAGTTAATAAAAAAAAAGAAAATGATACATTTAAAAAGCGTAATTTTAAAACGTTTGTAGCTTTTCAACATTTTATTACTTATTATGAACTATTGGAACGTCTCCTATGCGACGATAACAAAAAACTCACAATCAAGCATGCAGTTTTTTTGTATTTCAATTTTAACCGTCTGAAATCGGAATAAAAAATAAAAAACTTAAAATTCAAATAACTCAAAAATGGTTAACTTTTGGATAAGACATGATAGAACAAAATCGGTTGCTTTTGACCTAATCTATCACCCCTTAACAGGAATACGTGACATTACAAGTCACCCTGTATATTTCAAAAGAGAGTATTTGAATTTAATTAATTGAATAATGATATTAAACAAAGTTCGAATTTAAAAATGTTTAAGGTGAAATTAAAAAATCACTTTATGAATAATCAAAATACACAGTGACGTAATTTTAATTTCAATAGACAAGAATGTAAAATTACAGATTGAAGAAAAATATGTAACCGAATCGTTATACAAAATTGACATTGTAGCATTAATGCTAAATAAATCTTCAACAACATCAACAAAACTTCTAATTATAGTAAACCTCAGGTGGTCAAGTGAGTAATAGCTTGGTGGTACACTGAGAAAAAAAATTAAATCAATTAAAATTTTAGTCAAGCCATAACAGAATTTAATTAAACTCCATTTCTAAAACAGTTTAGTTGAAACTATGTTTAGTTTAATTAAATTTATTAAACCTTTTACTTAAATTGATTGCACCAATTTGTTTAAAATTAATGGACTACTGAAATGAGTTTACCTGCTCCAAGTAAAACAATTTAATTATATTTATTAAATTTGTTTAATTAGTTTAGGCAAAAGTATTTGCCTAGTTTTAATGAACTATTTTATTCAGATTTAAAAGTCTATTTCTATAATTTTTAAATTTAAAAGAACAAAGACAGTTTACCGAATGATATATATCATAACTGTGCTCTGAGAAATCATAGATACCTATCAGAAAATTTGGAAATTTTGACATTGCTATTTGATGTTCTCGAATCAAAATAAAAAGTTTGTTTTAAATGTACCTTTTTCACATAAACTAAATTACCTAAACTAATTGAACAGTTTAATAGAACAGTTACATGAATTGCTATTTTCAAGCAAATTAGTTTAATAGTATATTACTTTTAATTAAACTGGTTCCAGAAAAGTCAGTTTAATTAAACCGAATAATTTGTTGATTGGAAGATTTATTGCGGATAATGAGTATTTTCCAGAACAACTGTTTGATTGGCCACGCTTCTGTGTAGTTTGATACTAACCTCGAGATGAACTTTCCCGGATTTTCCTCCCTGGCATTGTGGAAGTCGAGGCACAGGTCTGCGTCGATGCCGATTCCGAAGTAGTTGTTCATGACAAAGATCTGGCTGTTGTCCTCGCTGGTCGAACCTGCCACCACTGTGGTCAGTAGGAGGAACGGCGAGTCAGCCACCGCGGGATACGCGCGGTGGGGACTTACCGCCCCCAACCGACGACAGAACGCCGTACACTTATACACATCCAAGGTTTTAAACATACATATATTGCGACTGGTAAATATTTATATCATATCATGCCTAGTGGAGCTTCAACAGTGCACCGAGAGATGCATATTTATAGGCTACGACAGTCAAGCAGCCCTGGAGCCAGTAGAAGCCGGTTCTTACTTACTGGCTACTGTAGACTGTCGTTTGTCCCCTCTAACGTTGAAAAGAGATTCTGTCTTCGTCAAATGTCTGTCTAGTCTTTGCCCCATGGCATGGCAAGCCGTGGAGTTTGATAGTGAAGGCGCATATTCAGCGGAATGGTTGGACATCCTGACATTCTTTAAATTATGTTTGGTACACACGAGATCGTTAAGAAGTGCCAAATGTGATCTAATTGCCAGACTTGGCCTCCCCACCACTACTACTACATGCTAAGAAAGCGAACTGATTGCAGTGACTTACCCTGGTAGAGGGAGTGGGAGTTAAAGTCGCTTTTCTCTAAAAAAAATTCCGTTTTGACCCCCATGTTATATGAAACTTTTTGCTTGTTTTAACCCCAACTATCACTCATTTAAATAATGACCTCCATAACGTTTACACCCTGTATATCCAGTAGCTCTCAGACAAGAGAAAAATTGTTTTTGTGTTTTGAGTACCAGGTCTGTAAAATAAATGATGAGACTGGCAACGTAGCGTTCGATCTGGTAGCACTGGAGGGGAGACAGAGAATATGTGATCCGCCTTCAGTACAAGTTTGAACTCGCTGGAGTCATTTGGTGTGCTACCAGGTTTTCCTTCAGACTTGGGCAGAGTGCAACGGAAACTCTTGCTAAACTGACGGAGATATTGTTTTGTTATCAGCCCAGGTTTTTAGACGGTTCAAGTCATTTTCAGAAGGAAGAGGGTCGATTGAAGATGAACCCCGAAAGGGAAGACCTTCATCGTCAAGAAACGATGAAAAGATCGTTGGTGACAGTCAGACTGATCGGGCACGACTTAAATTTGACCCAACACCACCTTTCATCAGACCAAGAGCAACTGGGTGTTACATGTTGAAAGAAAGCAACGTCAATGAACGAGTTTTTGGCCAGTAAAAACATTCCTGTGGCTCATCAGCCTCCTTATTCGCCTGACTTGAGTCCTAGTGACTTTTTTCTCTTCCCGAAGTTGAAAAACCCCCTCAAGGGAATTCAATTTAGGACAGTCGAAAACATTCAAATTGAATGGAAAAAATTTAAAAAAATTTTTCTCATCACTTAGTTTTCAGACCTCGTATAATGATTGTGCCTTATTTTATCAGCAGTGAATTACTCCAACAAGCACTCCAAAAGGTAAAAAAAATCGTTGTTTCGAGTGTTGAGTATAATGATTGCACCATATTAGCTCCTAGCCTGTGAATGTTTAAGTATTTCAGCAAATCAAATTTAAGTCAATATGTAACCCCTTGAGACCAGGGCCGGAGCTATTCAGAAATAACAAGGTCGTTTGTCCCAGAGAAACATAATTCGGAACTAGGCGCCCCAGAGGAAGCATAAACGATAGGTTGTGAGTCTATTATTAGCATGAATGTATAGGAATTTTTGGTATTATATCAGAAGTTCATATTGATAACAATAACTCGCTCTATATACGAGACCAAAGCTATTCAGGGGTAACTTGTTGTTTCCCGGTTGCAGAGCCCCTAACATGGCTTGAGGTGCTTCCAGAGTACATCCAAAAATTGGGTATCGAGTACTTAAATCTATGAATTTTGTAGGAATTTGTCGTTGTACTATAGTACATGCATAGTAAACCTGCTCTAAGAGTGTTGGTTTTCTAAATAACGTCTTTAGAATCCCTTCTATTTCTCTGTTTGCAATATATGTATGTTTTCTAGGATGTAGCCAGACCAATGCATAGTACGGAATTTCCAGCGTTATTGATCATATCAAGAAATTATTTTATTTTCATTTTTCTGAAATTAGTACAAATGACAGCATTTGAGCAATACTCATGAAAATCTGAGCTTATACTGTTAATTTCAATTTGACCACTCTTTGATAATCAATATTTGCTTGGCCTGACTAACTTTACGTAAGAAATATCTTATGTGTTGTTTGAAAAATAACTTGAATTAGGTGAACAGAAAATACTATTTTACGCTTTAATTGACTTCATGATCAAATTTACATAGTTTTCAAACAACTAGATTGGCTACACAAATGCATTCAAAGAACTACTGTCATTTAAATGACGACTTATGCGGCCTTCTTTATGCTTTATAACTACTTAAAACTGATTCTGGAACTTAAATAAATGTTGTTTTGCCGTAAATAATTCATTTTATATGTATTGATCTAACGTATGTATGCGTAAGCCATGCAGTTAAAGACACTCTACGCAATCAAGTGTTACTTTTATTGTGGTTTACCACTGTCAGAATTATGTAGAGTATTAGACCAAATACATTCAATAAGTCAACGATAATAGAGATTTTGTATTATTAGATTTATTAAGCAAACTAGACATATATACCACAAAAACCAATGTCAATTGTATTAAAACTTATACAAGTTAAGATAATCATTATCACTTTTTTTTCGTAATGCGCCAATTGTTTTGCTTCTTATTGAATATCTTCAGTCTTCTTCAAAACTAAGATATTGTTAAACATTAATTTAGGAAAATGGAATTACTTACGGACAAGGCAACTGATATACAAAAACTTTGTAATATCGCTTTGACATTTTCAAAAAAGAAAGGCTTTCGTTTAATTCCAAACAGTTTATAGTTATATGTGGCTCTTATATAGCATATAGCCCAATAATAGCATTATTAGAAAAGTATACAATATTTTGTATATCAGATTATATTTTTAAGAAAAAAATCAGTGAATCTACAAAAACTAAACTTTGATACGCACGAAAAAAAAATGGTAGAACTTTTGCCTCTTATTTGTCTTCCAAGATAACAACAAAAAAAGTTTGCTAGTTTTGGTTGTTGTTAGAGCATCGGCTAAGAAGTTTTTGAAGCAATACCGATAGGTCGTAGTTTCAGCATATACAGGTGTCCGCAAAGTTGGGGTTTTCCTTTTCAGAAACAACTACACTTGAAATAACAAAGGTAATGTGTAGTGCAACGAGGGCGACCAAGTAAACAAAAATAAAGGAAAAAGTACTCACTCTCCAGTTGACGAGAAGGGCTAAGTACGTCTCTGCCAGAAATCATACCGCTCCAATAGAAAATGAAATCAGCTGATGCGCTACCGAGCAGACGCCGAAACCACATTGATTGTCTTACACTCAATGGCACATCTTCTAACAAGGAAGGCAAAATGTTGCGTAAAAAGTCTAGGTATTGCATCCCGTCCGATCGATTTGGGAGAATAAATGGTCCAATGAGCATACCGTTCACCATGCCAGCCCAAACGTTCACCGAAAATGTTTGTTGAAAGTGTGCCTGACGGACAGCGTGCGGATTTTCTACTGACCAAACATGAGTGTTGCGAAAGTTATTCACCCCATTACGCGTGAACGTAGATTCGTCTGTCACCAATATGCACTTCAAAAAGTCCGGATTATTGTCATGTTGATGCAACAACCACTCACAAAACCGCACTCTTGCTGGAAAATCGTCAGGTTGAAGGGCTTGTACACATTGCACTTCTCTAGCCACGTCTCTAGTGCTTGTTGAGGGATTCTCGTCTACGCGATTACCTCTACACGCGTGACCGTAACCGTCGGTTGAAGGTTGCATACTGACCTGACCAGTGACCCCGACCCAGTTCTGTCGTTGGGTTGAGCCAGTGACCTTGTACCACTCGGTGATGTCGCGGGTCGCGGCTACAGGACGGTATTCAGATATTTTTGATGTTGCAGAGCCCTTTATCTCGGTTCCCTTAAGACATGGTGTATATGGTACTAAGAAAAATTGCTTACGTTTTCAAGATCTACACGTCGTGTAAAGGAAAACCCCAACTTTGCGGACACCCTGTATATTGGATATTGTGCAAAAGATTCGTCTTAAGCCGAGTACAGACCGAAAATCCAACGCCGAGCAAATTAAGGCAAGCACACGTAACGTTGGCGTTTCTTGTTGGAAGGTATTGGAATGCGCTCGTCACCTCGACACCTAAATTTAGTTTCAATGTGGACCGCGTTGGGTTAAGTTCGGTGTTAATGTCGAGCGACGAGTCTCCTCTCATCAAATTCAGACAAACGACTGAATACTACAGGCGCAACAAATCCTCTCGAGACCAAATCAAACCTCCCTTTGATGTACCCAACAAGAAGCAAACGCAATCGAACGCGATCGCCGACCTTGGCTTATGTTGGCTTGCGCCGTACACACCGATGCGAACACCTCCAAATCTGCAGCCAATCCTTGGCTTGCGTTGGAATCTCTGTCTGTACGCGGCTTTACTGAAATCACAGTCTATCTTATTCTATCGATAGTAATGTTATGTTCATTTCTACTACTGCCAGAATATTCAACGACACATTCATACTGGATTTGTATAAAATTAGAAATAAATGTATGCTCTTTTCGTTTGCATTTTTGCCTAAGAAATTTTGAAAAAGTATTGCACCACTTCGCTCCTACAAACCATGCTACCCATGCTTAACAAATAAATCATGCTCGGTTAATAATGTAAAAACCTAGTTTAGTCACTAAATACGTAGGATGTCACGTTGTTCCTAGTGGAGCAACCTGGTTATTACTCTCTCGATAATCTGTACCATGAGACAGAGTTTAGATTAAGACTCAAATTTGGGGCTAAAAGATTTCACTATCTGAAGATATATCACAAATGCAGTATGGCCTACGAATATAACGATACTTCAACTCTACTATACAGGATGTTTCAGAATTCAATTATCAGTCATATGAATGTATATTGATATGAATTTCGAATGAACTGAAAAATATTAGAAAATTATTGCTAAACCAAGTTTAGAATGTGTGAAATATTTTTGAGGCCTGTAAGAATCCGGGAAAAAGAGGACAGTGAAGAATTCTGATATATTTTCTATCATGTACTTTCAGTGCTTCAAGGCTGATAATTTGATAGTGGAACATCATGCAAATTATTGCATACGTTAGTTAATTGGTTTCGAAACAGATTACAGCAAAACAACATCTAAGTGACTACCCATCAACATTTGAGCAACTCCTATTTTAACTACTCCAAAACAAAGAAAGCTGGATGGCCTATCTGAATGATCAAGACCTGTACATCCATCAGCTTGTTACTTTCACCATCTAGATTGTAAAGGGTCGTCTGTTACACCTCTTTACTTTTTAATATTTCTCTTGAAATTTATCTGTTATTAAATCAACCAAATCTAACATAATGAGGGATCTTTGGATCAGGAGCAATAATCTTACAAAGCCCTGACAAACTATGACAAATTGATTACTATCTCGGATGCAGTCATGTTCACTAGAATCAAGACACTATACTAATTGCCTTCTTTTATTCTGACGTAGCAGTTTTATTCCAGGCAAAACGCATCGTTTTTCAAATATTTTCTGAAGTAACAGGGTCTCTATTGAGATGTAAAATTTGTTATTATAGAGATCCCCATTGCTTCAGAATAAATATGTCTCAAACCATTTTTCACCTGGTCTGTTTATGTGTCAAATGTTGACGTGTAGCCTGTAAGGTGGTTTATACCCACACACGCACATCACACACACATGTATACGATTGACCTGCTTTTTTAATTTGTTCACTGGTCACTTTGAATTTGGACAGTTTTTGCCTCTTCTTACCGGTGGAGTTGACCTGCTTGACGCTGTCATCGGGCTTGTCCTCTGGATGGAACACCACCGTCCACCTGTCAAGTCTGATCTCTTCGGCATCGATGACGTCACGCAACAAGTTCAAAGGATCTTCGCCACCCGTATAACCGCTGCCCCATCGTAGCACTCGGGCCAGGTCGTTACCTGCAAAAAAATAACACAAAACATAAATAAGAGTTTTTACTGGATTTTTTTTCAATCATCATAAGTCATCAATTGCGAACATTGGTCAACAAGGTAACCCGGCAACCTCAGATTGACACAAATTTGTAGCATTGCTACTTAGCCAATAAGAAAAATATCGGATGTCCTTACCTGTTCCGAGAGGCACGATGGCACATGCAGGCGAGGAACATTGCGAATCCTGCCCTACGTTATCCAAGCACTGCAATACCCAACCAATGGTACCATCTCCTCCGCATACTAATATCTTGTAGTTTTTTACGTTGCGAAACACATACAAACCGGGAAGTGGACCACCATTATCTAAATCGAACACCTGAAAAAATATTGACCATCATAATCATCATCGTCATCATCATCATTATCATCATCATCAACATCATCATCATCATCATCATCATCATCATCATCATCATCATCATCATCATCATCATCATCATTATCATCATCATCATCATCATCATCCTCACCATCCTCATCATCATCATCATCATCATCATTATTATTATTATCATCATCATCATCATCATCATCATCATCATCATCATCATCATCATCATCATCATCATCATTATCATCATCATTATCAACATCATCAACAACAACAATATCATTACCATCAAATCACGAGATTTTATCTCTCTTCCCTTCTTCACATAGATCTTTGAGTATGTAACAGACATATTTTAGTTCATTATTAAATACTTATACACCTACTTGGTATGGATTGAGCAGCTTTCTGAAACTTGAAATGAGCTCGAGGCCCTGGCATCCTCCAGATTTGACATTTACGAATACTAACAGTGGTTGAACGCCCTCTGGGATCATAGATGGTTCGATGTTGGGTAATAGCATCACTAAAAAAATGATTGATTAAACAACTTACTAGACAGTTTTTATATATAAATTGTAAATTGACTTACCTAGTAAAGGCTTATCTTCGTATTTTGATTCGCGCAATGTGTAGAGAGCTCTGACAGCCTTTTCAGCATCTTCGTAGGTTATTACCATGGATCCGTATTCGTAATAAATGGGACCAATTTTTGAAAATTTATTTTCTGAAAAATATACATGAATTAATGAATGCGAATAATATGGCACCACCCATACAGGCTGAGCGCAAGAATAGATTCTACTATGAAAAATAACCTTGAGCCCTTAAATGTTATCCAGGCAAGTCAAGTCAAGAAAACTTACCTCTCCCTAAAAAATCCGTCAATATATTCTCGTAGTTCCTCTCAGATAGATTTGGTGGTAGATTTCCGACAAACAAGGCTACATTAGGACCATGAGGATCTTGTTTCAATTGCAGGTAGAATCTCATCAACTCCATTTGCCTGATGCTGTCTTTTCCCAACTGCTTCACGATCTCCCACGGCCTCTCGTTCCAAGATAGTACTCTTTCGCTTACTGAAATAACCAATAATTATGAAGTAAATGTAGAACAAAGCTAAACACTATCTTGATACAAACTTTTTTAATTAACTTCTTTTTTTTGAGAATAAATCATTGGTTTACCTCCTCTGTCCAGAAGAACCTCGCTACATCTATAATCCTCGCAATTTTTGTCATCCAATCCAAAACGCTTCAACGCTTCGCGAATAAGATCCCCGACTGTCATGTTAGAATCCACAGGCACGGTGCAAAGTGCCTGTGATACTTGAAGTTTGCCGGGATACACCCTCACTTCGCCTGAATCGTTGTCACGATCCCTGCAGAACCAATGTTATGTACATTTTTTATCAATATAAGGTGGGTGGACCATGGAAGGCCACTATAACGAATAAACAGTAACTTATAAAACCTTCATTTATTGTGGAGTTGATCAGGAATGAGGAAGGAACAGGGCTCCATAGAAAGCCGATATAATAAATCATTTCACTTGACACCAGCGTTGTATTCAAAATATCTATGTATATTACTTGAACTACATATAAAGGTCTTCCATTCTATAAAAATAATAATAATATATTGTGTAACGCCCTTGAAACATGCGAGGTTTCGAGAGCGATAGCGTTCACGTACGTGAGTCATTGAGAGGGTTCTGGGTTGCCATCGGGAGCTTTCGAGAAATATCACGCTAATGTTCTCTAGATCTTCTGGATTGGTCGATTTCAAAATATATGCGCGCGACGACAGGAAGGAACGAGGACAGTCAGTGAACGAACAGTGACCGATGCGTCAACATAGTCCAATCGGCATGGTTATGACTAATAAAAACAGTATTTTCGTTACAATATAAAAACTCAACATGAACACTACTATCATAAAACTAAGAATGTATTTGTGAAAACGTTTAAAAAATAACTTTACTGGAACAGTTTTTTATCGACATCTAATAAGTCTTCAATAAACTTTGTAACGAAATAAAAATAAATTTAAACCACTAATACGGCTAAAATGTTCCAATTGACGTCAGAAATCTACAATGCACTAAAAATTGAGATGTTAAGATTTAGAAACCCATACGATATAGCCAACTTTCCCTTGCAATTCCTAGATGTTCCGTATAAGAGGCTTGGATCCTAGCAACGCCAACTGTCAATTATTTGATCGGCCATTGCCTTTCCTAGAAACACTACCGATATTTCAACTTAAATGGAAGTAATAATAATTATTTTCTCCGCTACCATAACAAAGGGGGAAGATTCCAAGAAAATAATAGTTTTGCTGCGAGCTACTATTATAATTTTAACGTTTGCAACCCAAGTCAACAAGGTCAACAAACCGAAGGACCGCATTGATAAAATACGACGTGAGGCATTTGCCGCGTCTGTATTCTTGTAATGGATTGTAATGTCTGTAGAAGTAATTTGTCATCGCAAGGCAATAACTACGACAATGTATATAATAAATAATCTGACTTACAAATCATTTGGCTTTCCATGGTACACCCACCTTCATCCAGGATACCCAAAAACGCTGAACTTATCACTAAAATGCTAATTCCTCAAATTGTAAGGTTTTTTACGTTTGAAAAATGGGATTTTCTGGCAATTTGTGGGGAATTTTGGAAAACCTGTAGACCGTATAGTTTTCGATGTGCTCTTTCCAAATATTTTCCGCGATACATAAAATGGCGCATAAAAAACAGTTTTTTGACAATATTTCTTTCTATTTTATTCACAATAAAATTAACTGTTATCAAATTTAGGCAATGACCTAGAACTTTATGTATTCAATTTTTTTTTATTAACAGTTTCGATGTTCGGAAGCAAAGTATCGTATACACTGCTTTTCAAAAAGGCACTTCGTACCTACTTTTTCACCGAATAAGGCTAGCACGCTGAAATTTGAGGCGTTGAAATTGATGCTTAGATACTATTCTTTAGAGTGAAAGTGGCAATTGAATATTTCAAGATGTATTTTGATACTTCTTAGAAGCACTTTATAATTCTAGAACATAAAATCGCTATCATACAAAACCGTTAGCTGACAAGATGACCAGTTGATACGAGGTAAAAATTCGGAAAAAGCATCTATAAGCTTTTTTAAATCACTCTCGATAAAACTACCAAAGGATCTAATATAGTATTAAGCGGTGGTTAATTCGAATAAGTTTTCAATGACTGGTTTTAGCAGACTTTTCTGAGATTATTTTTTAAACACTAGCTTCAAAAATATGTGGCAATCTTCTCAAGTATTAGTACTCACTTGAACCTGAGAAAGACCGCAGGCCTCTTGCCTTCCCTGCGATGCAGCGACATGATGGGATGCGGATCTTGCAGAATCCCCTCGTCCGGAGAATACGCATCCGTCAGATGGAACACGTTCGGGTCGCGCGTGATGTGAAACGCCCTTAACGCCTGCGTTAACACCTGCCGCAACGGCGCCGTGCGCTGCACTGATACCAAGCGGAAGATACGCCGACGCATCGAACTGTTCCCGTCGTATACCTTTATCACTTCTGAAAACAATAATTGTTTAGTATTTTAATGTGAAAACCAAAAATTCACTCCTTCTCCTTATAAGGACGCGTACACGGATATCCCCGTAAAGGTGCCTACCCACTGAGGAAAAGAAGCGAAAAGAGGAGAAGTAAACTTCTTCCGCTGGGTGCCTTTAAACATGAGTTCTGTTCGTAGAGCAGTCCCCAACCTGCCAGTGACGATGCCCAAGTCACCGACCACTTTACGAACAAACCTATAGTGAAAAGAGGCCACGCAATGGAGCGATGCGAAGCGAAGCAACGTGTCACGTTTGACATGTGTAATGACAAATTACGCGGTGATTTTATTCACATAGCTTCGCCTTAATGAGCGTACAGCTCAGTATCGTACACGGTGAGGATATTTTATTGAATCCTCAGAAAGGTCAATAATACGCTGAAATTTGGTAAGGCGGTAGTTAGTACTAGAAACAAAAATCCTCACCCCACCTGGATCAGTTGTTCTAAACCGGTGGCGGTGCTAGACTAACATATATGGACATCAGCTTTGCGAGGCCTTTTCCATTACCCAATAAAAAAAACGGTAAATTGAATGAAGTTGAGTTATACACTAATATCCATATTAGTATGTGTGTTTTATTGCTAATCAAATGATGACAAAAATTAAAATAGACGAACTTTTAGCCTCACTGAAGTGTTTTAAGATTGTTTCAGAACACCAGCCGCTATAGCCGCTTCAATTGATAGAATTGATAGAGCAAATTTTCTCTGTTGGCTGATCGTGGTTCTCATGTAGGTCTAATCAACTTTAGCCCTGAAAAGCTTATCTCAATAGAAGCTGTACTGACTGGCACTGTGAGCATGATTTTGATTATATAAACAGTCGGAGATACTTCTTCCAAATTATTTTTTCTAAAATGTACTGGACAAGTTCATTGACAGAGCCTGGTGAACTGATTATTTAAATAAATTAAGATGCTCGACCAGGTCCTCCATTGATATAGATATCAAGAGCTCAAATCCTTTTGAAATTGTGACCTTGATTTGAGATCATATATACTTCAAATGAGTTAATATCATTGTTTAAGAAAGAGTTTTTACAACTGAGAAATGAATCTCAGTTCAAAGGAATACGTTTTGGAGTTTTAGAAACAAAGCCTATCATAATCACGACCCTTATAGATGGGTATGCTCTAAGAGCACTTCTTTTAGTGTGTACGCAAATCTCTTATGGCCATTTTTACTTCGACATTTCCAGAGCACATTAAAATTTCTTTGTTGTTTTGCGTTTCTGGTTATGTTTGATTGTATTGTACGTTTGGGTGATTTTGAATTCGAAGTTTGGATAGTGGAGAAACTAAATGTTGAGTCAAACGAGTGGCAGTCGCAGTACTCACAAAAACACTTCTCTTTTGAAAAATTTCATCGTTGATGACACAATTAACCACTGCAGGGTAACGAAATTGACCTTTACATTCGTTGTCCAAAACCTTCTTATCTATTACCTCTTTAAGCTCATTTCTTCTATAAAAGTCAAAAGAACAACGATTTATCGGTACATCTATGTGTATTTCTACGATGTTTGCATCCCTAAACAGAAATAATTGACGACTCGGGGATTCCCCGAGTACCGCGGGCGGTATAGTTTTTTTCAGGTTGACGGATCTGGATTCTGATTAGTTTCAACATGAATAAGATCGCCGAATGGACAAAGAATATGATATATTCTGTTAAAAAAATGTATTTTTTAAGGTATACAGAACGTCAACTGTTTCAGACAGGGTGAGGATTAGCTTATATTTTTAGTACTATAAACTACCACCACTCCAAGTTTCGTCCAGTGATTGATTTTCTCAAGAATTCAATTAAATATTCATCCATTGTGTCTTATTAGTATTTTACTGAATCTAACGAATGCAAAAAAAACAAATCAAAATCTCATAGGGCACATATTTGAAAATCTCCACTGTTCGTAAAAACATCCCATACAACCGTACAACCAATTATACGATTCACTCTCCTATGCGTATCAACTTCATATTTAGGGATTATTTTGCTCTCCGTTCTTTGTCGCTCCAGGACCCCTGACCTTGAAACCGAGGGAGTAGAATCGCTGACAGTGGACGTGGTTTTCTTCTATAGAGCATTATTTCAATCTCTGGCAGCTGTTGATACTTATCAAACAAGTTTGTGGATACATCCATTTTAGACAAAATTGCATGTATTGGTTTCTTCATATCAATAAACGTTCAGTCACAAAGTTAACTTCGTTCATCCTGATGACATGCGCAGAGCGACGAATTCCGCAATGAGCAATGGAACGATTTTGTGGCAGGGATGCTTGACTCCTCTCCGGAAAGTGGCGAAGTCGCTCAGAAACGGAAAGCGAGAACAACTCCCGCACATCCACGGTCCGGGGGCATAGTCTTCAGGACAGAGGACAAGGTCGAGGTTTTCGCTGATGTTATGGAACGACAGTTCTCTCCCAACTATGATCTTGATAATGATCTCGACCAGGAGCAACAAATTGTAAGATCCGTCAGAATATATTTTAGAGCCAACGGCGTCAGTGATCCCAGCGCCGCCATTAGTGATTCATCCTCAGAAGATTCTTTTTCGGAAGATTCTTCAGCTGACAAGATCCCGCATTGCACACTAGCAGAGCTACAAGGTCATATTAAAAACCTCAAAGTGCGTAAAGCGCATGGGGAGGAGCAAATCACTAATAAGGTGCTGAAGCTGCTTTCACGGAAGTCCTTGACTTATCTCGTGACCATTTTATCAATGCCATGCTATGGACCCAGTACTTTCCATCGGCGTGGAAGACTGCGGAAGTCATAATGATTCCAAAGAAGGTGGGTTCGATATTTCCCCAGGACTATCGTCCCATCAGCCTACTGTCTGCTGCGTCTAAGCTCGCTGAAAAGATGATTCTACGTCAGCTTGCGAATTTCTCGTCAGATCACCATGTGGCTCCTGACGTGCAATTTGGATTTTGATCTGAGCATAGTACCGAGTTACAGGCGGTTAGGCTTGTGGAGCGAGTAACCAGCCTTAACTGTTAAGTATCTCAAAATTAAGTTTAGTTAACAAAGTTCGACTATACAAGATGGTTATCAGACCAGCAATCACTTACGCATGTGCAGCATGGTGTTTTCTTGACAAAACGCATATGCGTAATCTGCAGGTTTTGCAGAACAGAACCTTGCGAACCATCAGTAACGTACCATGGTATGTCTTCAACGAGACCCTTCACAGAGACCTCGACATCGCTTACCTAAGGGACTACATCAAACATCAGCGACCCTCTGTTGCGTGAGTCAGTAGACTACACAGTCGAGCAAGTTCGCAAGCACACAAGACCGGGGCTCGCACTGCGATCAAAATCAAATCGTGCAGTTCTAGATCCAACCAAAATTACGATTTTTGCCAAACACAAATTAATTTTTTGATTACATAATTTAAAATAACCGAATACCAGTTAACAATAGCAAGGATTCCCTTTAACCGGCGCACTTCACCCTCTTTGCTCTTCTCCCTTCCTTTCTTTCTTCTTCTTTTCTTTTTCCCTGACTTCGTCTGGTCTCTGGGCAACCAGACCTGACAGACCTACTGACCTACGATACTTTAACAAAGAGCGAAGGTCCCACGGACCGCTCTAATGGACAATGACGAATAGAGAGAAAGTTAACTTCGTCTTTAGAGATGAGACTGATAGACGCGAACTATCAATTATGTCTGGTTTCTGGGTGACAAGGCCGACATAATAACAAACTGGCTGACGTACTTTGACACAAAGGCCTTGAGAGACAATGAAGAATAGAGACGACGCGAAACTTTCACACTTTTCTTCTATCAGTGCTCAGGAACACAGTTCCCCAAAAGGAAAGAGAACTACGACCATTTTATCTCAGTTATTCTTCTCCCTCATTTCAAGGGTCAATCCCCTGGACCGTGCTGCTCATATACAGGGTGTATAGAATGGCATGCTAGATCTCCTTATTTGACACCATTAGACTTTTTTCTATGGGGCCACTTAAAATTTATTGGCTTACTCCCCAACCTGAAAGTTTAGATTAACTTCGTTTACGCATCATCGAAAGCTGCCATGAGATCCCACAACATATTTTTGAAAATGTCCGTCAGGAATTTGAACATCGCCATATCATTTTTTGGCCAATAAAGGACAACATTTTGAACACTTATTGAGATAAATGGTGATATTTTCGTGTGTTTTTCTTTTATATCTGAACAAATTAAAATATTTTTCTAATTTTTTCGAAAACGAATCGACCGATTTCAAAATATAGGATTTTGAAAAACCCTTCAAGCAAGCTTTTGACGTGTCTCGGAGCTTTTTTTAATCAGTGGTTTTCGATAAATCCGTGGTGGGAAGTTTTCAAATGAACACCCTGTATAAAAAGGCGCCGTACGTGGTTGGATGAAGGCAATCATGGGCGCCCGCAGTAATTTTTCCCAGGGGGGGCGATCATCAGCCAGATATATTTCTGTGATAGAACTTTTTGAAGAGCGGGCCTAATCCTAAAAATCCTTGAAATTGTATACAAAATCATGCTATTTGCGCTGTGCTGTTTCGTGACCCACCTTCATCGCGTTCCTCCTGGTTCTTATTCTTATCCTGTCGATTGTCCTTGCTAGATGGTGGATGGCCTTGCGCATAGTCTTCAGAGTCCCTTGGCCCCTTACTGCTACAACCACTGCCGTCTCCACTAGGGAATTCCTCCGATGTACTGCGTGCTATAAGCGAAAAAAAAACTTTGAGTAATTGACCGTCAGAGGACTTCTAGAAATATCAAAAACTCCTGTTAAAGCAGCCAATATTACAAAAAGGGTTAGTAACCAAATTTATCTTCCACGCATAACTTTGATGGTTTGTCTAAAATAACAGAACAGTTCTCTGACAATTTTGATTTTCGAAATACTTCGTTTTCTCTTTCCGAAGTTGAAAAATCACCTCAAGGGAACTCATTTTGGGACAGTCGAAAACGGATGTAACTAAAAAGTTATGAGGAGTGGAAGAACCGTCCCTGTTCACTGTGTGGCTTCAGAAGGAAGTCATTTTGAGAATGACAATATAAAATTGTTATTAAATTTGAATAAAAAGAAATCAGTGTCCTCATTTAATGTACAGACCTCGTACATCCCAAAAGATAATTTGGAATCCAAATTGAATTATGCCTTGCAAGTATAGCCTAGTTTGCTTATGCGTTCTGCTATGAAGCACATTACAAACTTAAGCGAAAATTTTATAAAGCACACAATTTGTAACAGAACAAAAAAAATAAAAAGCAAACTAAAATTATACCTCGAACATAAGGGGGCGACAAGCTGGACTCGTTTATGTTTTGGCATGAAACTGGCAAAATAACTGTAAGCCGCTTGAGAACGCTTGATATAGAAGCACTCCGTCTAACACTATCACTGCCACTGACGACTGCAAAATCATTCCCTTTATATCTTAAAATAAAAAAATTAAAAACAAAATTAAGCAATGTCAATCCTATCTACTATTTTTATCAACAACAAATGATGAAACTGCGCACAGAATATTGTTTTATATTACAGATAAAACAATTACTATTTTGTATATATAAAAGATCGTTCTTGTGCTCCTATGCTAGATTTTGGTAGCCTCGCCTGGAAAGTTTTGAAAGGTTGATATAATTCCGTTGTGCTCTTTTTCCAATTTTTCAATTTCGTACCTTTTCCGCATATACATAAAAGATGGCGCTCCAAAACAAATAGCAGTTTGGATCGAACTCTCCTTCTTGGACATCAAATGCTTGTACTGATAACCAGTCGCTTTTTTAGATAGGTAATAAGATAAATTTTGTTAAAAAGCTTTAATATTGGTTCACTTTTTAGTTTTCCTAAATAGGATGCAGCAGTGAGAGTCAAGAAAATAAAAAGCTTTAGGTAAATACAACTTCCGTATTTTATAATTTAGCATGTATTGTTTTTTTACTTTTTTCCCAATAGGCACTTGTATTCAAATGAAATCAATAATTCTTGAAAAATGTGATCATTATTTACATAACGTAATTTTTGGGGAAAAAACAATCTTCCTTAGTTCGTTTGCAGAATTTTTATGCATTCCTATGTCATAAAACGATCCATATTATCCAGGAAGTATTTTCGTAAATGATTAACGAATCTGCAAGTTCTAGCAACTCGCCCAAAATTGCGTCAAAAATTGATTAACAGACTTTCAACAGATTCCTAAAACTGTTTTTTCTGCTTCGGCAAAGTTTTTATTAGGTGTTTTGGGTCAATCTGAATAAAAATTGTTTTCATGAACTTTTCTCTCATGTCCAAAGTTTTTGAGGTATAAAATGCAGGTGCAATATGCCATTTTCCACCCCGAAAACCAACATGAAAAACCGGAAATTTTAATTGTTGCCTAAAGCCAAGATTCCTAAGCATTTTAGGAGATATTGTTATTAAATCCCTTTGTTGCACCTTTTCAAATATTAAATCGTTTATCTCTAAGAAACTATGAAAACTAATCTTAGAGAAACGTTCATAAGAGCTTTTTTATCCAGTATCATCCAAGAAACCTACAAAAGTTTCCCGAAAGCGGAAAAAACATTATTTCGAATTTGTTTATGTGATTTTGGCGCTGTCAAAATTTGATACAGCGGTAGTTAATACACATTTATACATACATAATACATACATATATACATACAAATGTCCTTAAATCAATTGTTTGAAAAAACCGTTTAAATAAAGAGTGTCCTCTTTTATGGGGAATTCCAATTTCAATAAATTCCAGAGAATACCGACTGCTACAACCAATATAAAAATAAATTTATAGAGCTTGTAAGGCAAACCAAACGAAAACATTACCTAAATAAATTGAATAATAACTTAAATGATCCTAAGCGGCTTTGGACAACTATTGATGAGATTACTGGGAAAACAAAATTTAAAGAGTGTGTCACTGAGTTAAATACAACATTGGGAACAGTATTAAAAAATACTCAACAGATATGCGATGAATTTGTACAATTCTTTACTGACATAGGCGAAAATTTAGCAAGTAATATACAAGCAAATGTACAAAATACTCAGCCTCCAAAAAGAACTTTGAACTCATTTATTTTGGATAAAGTCGAGCAATGTGAAGTATACACCACTGTTATATCCTTAAAAAATCGGAAAAGTCCTGGGTTCGATGGTATTAAAAGCGAGCATTTGAAAATTATAGCCGAGGACATAACAGAACCACTCACTTACCTAATCAACAAATGCTTTGAATCTGGCATATATCCCTCAATTTTAAAAAAAGGTAATATAATACCGATACATAAATCAGGAACAAAAACAGATGTTAACAACTATAGACCAATATCAATAATATCCAGTGTAGCAAAGGTTTTTGAAAAAGTTTTATCTACTAGAATGATTCGATACCTCACAAAATTCAAAATTTTAAGTGAAAATCAATATGGATTTACAGAAGGGAAGATTACATCGGACGCAATAACTAAAATTGTAAATCAAATACATCAAAATATTGATAACAGAATCCCTTCAATCTGCATTTTTGTTGATTTCGATACAGTTAATCACAAATTATTATTAGAAGCATTGGAGAGAATTGGTTTCAGAGGAAACGCGTACTCACTGATCGAAAGTTATTTGTCAAATCGCCCACAATCTGTGCAGATATCAGGATCATTTAGTAAAGAAATGTATATTAAGTGTGGTGTCCCACAAGGAACTGTCTTAGGTCCGCTGTTATTCAATATATATTTAAATGATATTTTCCAAATTAATTGTGTTGGCAAAATAACTAGTTTTGCAGATGATACTGCAATATTATATGAAGGCACTGACTGGTCTGATCTGAAAAATGTAATTGAAAATGATTTTATCAAAATTATTCGGTGGTTTAACAGTAGAAAATTAAACATTAACTACTCTAAAACACATTTTTTACCATTTGGATCTTATGCTAGACATCTGCCAAATTACACAAATTTCTTCTTCAATATTAATGATCAAAAAATGCAAATAATATGCAAATAAATAAGTGCCCAACATAAAATACCTTGGAGTGGTCTTGGATCCTCACTTACGATGGGCCATCCATGTCAATTATATTTTAAAGAAAGTTAGATTTGTATCCTACAAAATTAAATACCTTGGGAATATATTGACAGAAAAATATCTTCGAACATTATACCATGCACTGATTGAGCCTCATCTCACATATGGTATATTAGCATGGGGAGCTGCATGTTCCTCACATATCTATAATTTAGATGTTTTTCAAAAAAGTATTCTAAAAATGATATTTAAAAAACCGAAACTTTATCCCACTGAAAAATTATACGCAGATGTTCGAATGTATGATATACGTAGTCATGCCATAAGTTCTGTCCCTCGTTTTCAAACAAGTGTAGACCTGTTAATACTTGTCCGATTGTTTACATTGTGGTGTCAGTTGATTAAGCGCTTTTCGGGTAATTACATATACCTCAGTTTGTATTGATCTCTCGAAGCATAACGATGGAGTGGGGCAAGGCAGAGAACCGTATTGCAGTGATAGCTTTACATAAGTGTAATCACAGTGCTAGTCAGATTTTTGAACTCTTACGCGGCCCTCAAATATCGCGTAAATTTGTGTCTAGGACCATTCAGCGGTACAATGAGACGTCCTCTGTTGATGACAGGCCAAGAAGCGGAAGACCTCGTCAAGTAAGGACTCCAGCAGCCATCAAAGTCGTAATAGCCAGGATTCAAAGGAATCCACTCCGGAAGCAGAAGATCCTATCCAGGGAAATGAAGATTCCTGTCCGGACGATGTCGCGCATCATTAAACAAGACCTAGGGCTAGGGGCTTACCGGAGACGTACGGGCCAGCGACTTACGGCCACCTTGCGACACATCAGGGCGACAAGATCCAAGAAGCTCTTGGAGAGGTACGCAGCTGGGGGATTCCGAAAGATTTTGTTCACGGATGAGAAAATCTTCACCATAGAAGAAAAATTCAACCGACAAAATGACAAAGTGTATGCAAGGAGTTCACAGGAAGCTTCGGAGATCATTCCGAGAGTTGAGAGAGGCCACCACCCTGCGTCAGTCATGGTTTGGTGGGGGGTGTCCTACGAAGGGGTCACTCAGCTCCATTTCTGTAAACAGGGCGTGAAAACAAAAGCGGCAAACTATCAGAGCGACATACTGGATCCTATCGTCAAGCCTTTAAGTGGTACATTGTTTGCCAACCAACACTGGGTCTACCAGCAGGATTCCGCCCCCGCTCACAAGGCTAAGAGTACGCAGCGCTGGCTGGAAAGCAATGTGCCAGAGTTCATTGCTGCGGAAGATTGGCCCTCAGGGAGTCCGGACCTCAATCCTTTAGACTACAAGTTGTGGGACCTGCTAGAGCAGTTGGCCTGCTCCAAAGCCCACCGTAATATCGAGTCCCTGAAAGCGGATTTGATCCGATCAGCGGCAGCTATTCCTTTGGAAGCTGTGCGTGCAGTGATAGATGAGTGGCCCGCGAGATTGAAGCAGTGTGTGAAGGCCAAGGGGGGACATTTTGAATAAAACTGTTTGATTATGAATTCTAAAAATGTTGTCGAATAAATAATATCTTTCATATAAATATATCTTATCTTGTTTCATTTTTATCATGAGATTATCATGGGACAGAACTTATGGCACGACTACGTACACAGTATCACTCACTACCATAAATTTGTAAACACCGACCAAAAAATTAAACATAATCATTATACCAGGTACAAAATTCGTGGCACAGTAGCATAAATCTATAATGCAGCGATCATATCTCTATTTAGCGCCTAAATTTTATGAAATTATACCTAAAGACTTAAAAGATTTACGTTTCGGAAATTGTTTCAAAATAAATTTCAAAAAGTGGCTAGATTCTATATCTAGGACTGAAATTCATAAACTCATAAATACGAACATCAACTAAATACATAATCTACTGTAGCTAATTTTTGTCCTTTTTTGTCATTTGCATTCTACAGTTTCAACTTAAATTTATTGGTCCATGTACAGGCGATGCCTTCTATTGGGCCTGTTTTGATTTTATATTTATTTACTCATATTGTTTGTTATCTTTGTACATTGAGTGAATAAATATTATTATTATTATTATATCTTTAAAGATATCGGAATCTTTAGAAATCTGTATCGATAGGAAGGAGGATGAGTAAAACTATGGAAACAAATAATACAATATTTTACAATCATGATCTAAAAAGAAAGATGTCTTTGAGTGTGATTTGATCTAAAAAATATTTTTGAGAGGTTCATATGATGAATTTGAAATTATAAGCTCAGTGCTGAAGTGGGGAGAAACTCAGGGGGCAAATTGAAAAACACGTTTTTTTAAGCTCGGACATTCCCGGAAAGTAGATATGGGCCCCCAAGACACCCCCCTGGATTCACCCCTGTTGCCAAAGTTTACTATAGTTGTAGTCACTGTTTCTTAGGCCCGTATCGTCAGTCGTCCCTACAATTGTAGGGCGCGTTTATGGTCTCCTTGATTGTCATAATTTTCTACTTCTACGTGACAGCGCTCTATTTTGAGGTTATGTCACAAACATCTATTTGCATCAAATTGTGCTTGCTTTTGAGTTATATCATGTTTTATCAGCCTGAAATTTCCTACAATTTAAAAAGAAAACATATCTTTACAATAGGAGAGCGCTGACGCTGACACAGAAATTTTTGAAGGAGAGAAAGGAGTATGACAATCAAGGAGGCCATAAACGCGCTCTACAATTGTAGGGACGACTGACGATACGGGCCTTAGTTGTGTGTCTCGTTACTTATGAGTGCCCTTCAATCATATTTGTCAGAGTGACAACTTACTTGACAACTTCAATATCTAATTGTACAATACCCGGAAATACGATCAATGGAGGAGGCCGTCGTGCTAAATTTATTTCCAAGAAGAGAATGAAAACAGGTCCCCTGTCACCCACTTCATGCGTACTGACGAGAGTAGCAGATGCGCTGAAGATTAGTCTACGCAGTGTTCAGCGAATACCATCAGAAAATAAGAAAGGTTTTCCCATAGTAACACATGGGGAAACTCAAAAAACCAAAAAATGCAAGACCGATGGTGTAAGTGATGCCGTCAAAACAGAAATTAGGAATACTTTCTACGATATGAGAAGAAAAGGACAACGTATCGAGGTCTCTGCGCTCAAGATCCGCCCATGGTGCGGAGACTCGATCTGTTTACCTATTTCATATGGCGTTGAGAACGTAACCGGTTTCTATACTTACATATTTTTAAATGTCCTTTGTAGGGGGCGTTGTTGTTGTACAGCTTTCTGTTTTAATTATTAATCAAGCTCAATGTAAATTCCGTGTTCATAAAAACTTTTTTGTTCAGAATTGTCCGAGAAAACCTAAAAAAGTCTGTTCGGAACGAAAAAACATTTCGAATCTATTTAAACAATTTTTGGTGCATTTTTGGGCCTGGCGACATGCAGAATAGTTAAAAGAAGTCTATCTTGAATAAGGTTAAGCAAAAAACTGAGTCAGAACATTTTTTTAACATCGTAATATTTTAATTTAAATCCAGAGGTACGTATGGAAACACTCTATAAGCAATTCTAAAATCATCTACGCGTGTCCATTCCTATTTATAAACCTACTAAAAAGAGTGACATTAGCAAGACGATACAGATAGAGGCAACGTAGAGAGAAATAGACACTTACGACATGAATACTCACGAGAGAGGGTGTCCTTCCTGCGAACCTGCACCCCTATGATGGCCTCCATGGGTACCTCGGTGCGAGGAATGCTCACGGAATGGGGCGGCAGGTAGATCGGCTCCAGCATTCCGAACTTGCATTCGCTGCTCACTTGCACGTGACATGCCGCGTGACACTACGACACGAGTATAAATTAGAAATTTAAGAAACCCCCTATTTCAATCTGCTAGGAACCATTGCCTGGCTGAATCAAAACGTGTATACCGTAGGAATTATTTACAGCACGGGTATCACGTATCTTGAAAAGTGACATTATGTCGATTTTTTTTGACATTATGTAGGTTTTTCTACAAGATGTTAACTTAGCACTTAGTTGTAGGTGTTGCCTTAACGTCATGAGGCTTGTTATCAATCTTTGGTTCTGATGTGATGTAAAATCTGCTTCTGAGATGGCATTACTGGAGGTCCAAGCTGTAAGTTGTATGTGTTGATGATAATTACATTGGGGTCTCGTCTCAAATACACTTAATTAAGATTCAAAACTAGATATTAGCTGCGCATCCACTTTTTCTTATCCATTGTGGAAATTACATATACAAATTTGCTGAATTTAAAAAATGAGAGAGATAAGAAATACTTATATTCACTATACACTGTTGTAGTACAAGCCATATGCATGCTAACAGTAATTAGACACAACGCGGGCGCGGTGATGATTTCCCGTAATTCTCATCAGTTTTTCGTAATTTATAACTTTGAACATGACCTCTCTTCAGAAAGCACAACATATAAATAACCCGTCATATTCAGCATATTCACTAATGATTTTCACACACAGCAAATATCACTAATTTTATACACATGCAGACCAATACACATAATCATCCAGATGCGATCTTGCTATTCAACCAACTTTCTTCTCAGAGATCAAAACTACAGACATGGATCACTCAGCCTCACAAATTTATGCAACCAATAATGCGTGTAGTTTAGTTGAGTGATTCCTCCATAGATGGACGTTCACAACGAGGTTTTTTTTGACGTTTTATAGGTTTTTTATATGATACCCGTGCCGTAAATGATCCGCACGGTATGTCTTAATTTCTCTTTATTGTACGTCGTTTCGGCCATCAGTTTACCATTATAATAACAGCATATTTTAACTCATCTGTCGTCCAGGTGACAGTTCTTTTCTTTTTTCATATACAGTGTGTTGCGACAATGGATCATCATTACAATTTTAAGATGGCACCGCGTAGAACCAGAAACTGCTTTTCTTGAACATCCGGTGCCTTACAACAATGAATCTTTAACAATCCCGAACGGTTATACTGTCGAATCGATCAGTTAGCATGTAGCTTGGATGACTGTATTTGACAGTCCCTGTAGAAAAATTTCTTGTTGGAAACAACCGATTATACAAGTTTTACATGCCTGAGTTCTGAGTTACGACATCTGATACAATTTTCCATGTAGTACACTTCTCATTCCAAATTCAGAAAACCCAGATGAAATCAAAACCTGGCTAGGTATTTTTATACTGAAGCAGTCGCATAGGCAGAAACCTAAATACTGGGACATGCTGCTACATAAGGAACTTAAAGGCGGCTTTTTAATCCGATTTTTGAACTGCCTAATATTACCAGAACTGGGAAAAACTCCTGAAGTAGATTGTCTTCGACACCCTAAGAACGAAAAAACGGTCATACCAGCCAGTTCTCAATGTGCGAAAATTGACACAGTTGAGATGGGAGACAGAAGTCTGACGAGTGCGTCGTAGAGGCTCAACTGCGGCGGCATCATGGAGGGGAGTTCTGAGGAGCTAACCCCGTTGACATAGCGGTAGAAGACTGCAAGATCTCCGACTGCCGGTCATTGATCAGTCAAACAGCCCCCCTCTGAACAGGCCAGGTCTTATCTGAGACTGAGCACTGGGACAAACCTAACGAAAAGTGGGACAAACCTAACGAAAATAACTGGGACAAACTTAATGAAAAGAAGTGGGAGAAACCTAACGAAAAAAATGGGTCAAACATAAGAAAAAAAGTGGGACAAACCTAATAAAAAGAAGTGGGACAACCCTAAAGAAAAAAGTGGGACATACCTAATGAAGCAAAGCGGAAAAACCCTAGCGAAACTGCTGGTACATTGGAGCTACTGGTTATACTTTTAACTACTGATACATTTGAAGTACTGGACATTTGAACTACTGTTCATTTGAACTACCGGTCATTTGAACTTCTTGTTATTTGTAGTTCTGGTACATTTGACGAGCTGGTCAATTGAACTACTGGTCAGTTGAACTGCTGGTCATACGAACTACCAAACACTCGAACTACTGGACATTTGGACTACTGGTTATTTGAAGTACCTAACAGAAAAAGTGGGACAATCCTAATGAAAAGAAGTGGGACAAACCTAAAGAAAAAAGTGGGACATACCTAATGAAGCGAAGCGGAACAAACTTAACGAAACTACTGGTACATTGGAGCTACTGGTTATATTTGAACTACTGATACATTTGAAGTACTGGACATTTGAGTTCCTGGTGATTTGAACTACTGCTTATTTGCAGTACTGGTACATTTGAAGTACTGGTCATTTGAACCACTGATCATTCGAACCGTAGGTCATTCGAACTACTGAACACTCGAACTACTGGACATTTGGACTACTGGTTATTTGAAGTACCTAACAGAAAAAGTGGGACAAACCTAACGAAAAAAGTGGGACAAACTAACGAAAAGAAGTGGGACAAACCTAAAAAAAGGTGGGAAAACCCTAAAAAAAGGGGGGACAAACCTAAAGAAAAAAGTGGGAGTAACCTAATGAAAAGAAGTGGGACAAACCTAAATAAAAAAAGTGGGGCAAACCTAATGAAAAGAAGCGGAACAAACTTAACGAAACTACTAATACATTTGAAGTACTGAATATTTGAACTACTGGTGATTTGAACTACTGCTTATTTGCAGTACTGGTACATTTGAAGTACTGGTCGTTTGAACTACTGATCATTCGAACCACTGGTCATTCGAACTACTGAACACTCGAACTACTGGACATTTGGACTACTGGTTATTTGAAGTACCTAACAGAAAAAGTGGGACAAACCTAACGAAAAAAGTGGGACAAACTAACGAAAAGAAGTGGGAGAAACCTAAAAAAAGGTGGGAAAACTCTAAAAAAAGGGGGGACAAACCTAACGAAAAAAGTGGGATTAACCTACTGAAAAGAAGTGGGACAAACCTAAATAAAAAAAGTAGGGCAAACCTAATGAAAAGAAGCGGAACAAACTTAACGACACTATTGATACATTTGAAGCACTGAATATTTGAACTACTGGTCATTTGAACTACCGGTCATTCGAACTTCTGGTAATATAACGAAAAAAGTGGTACAAACCTAACGAAAAGAAGTGCGACAAACCTAAAGAAAGGTGGGACAAATATAACGAAAAAAATTTCGACAAATCTGACGTAAAAAGTGGGACTAACCTAACGAAAAAGGTGGGACAGACCTAACGAAAAAAGTGAGACAAACCTAACAAAATAAGTGGGACAAACCTAACGAAAAGAAGTGGGACAAACCTAACCTAAAGAAGTGCAGGTTGTGCGGAGAACAGTACTTCTTAGCCCTCGAGACCGCATGAACGCTAGAGCGCTTGTCGGTCAAAGTACAGTACTGTATTTAGCATTAAACTGTACCAGATATTTGAGCCGCCAAGCAGTGACAACCTCCAGATATCTCTTTAGCGAGGAAATCACGCGCGATGAACAGACTGCGTGAGTGGTACGAAAGGGGGGGAAATCTAGATGTATTCTCTAAAAAATAAAATTTGCATTTCTAAAGATTCCCAGTACATAGCATTGCTTTGTTGAACTTACCGCCAAACCGCACCATTCGCACCTATACCCAGACAGGCACTCCTGAGACCAACAGGTTTTCTTGCAAAGTGCGCATTTCGTGTTGCCCGCCGGTAAGTTACCCTCTCGCCAGTGGTGCTGATGTTTGACCTGCCCCAGCTTTTTGCCCGGAACCCAGGTTGCGTTCTCTTTGCAGTCCGCCACAGCGAAGTCCTGGCATTCTACGTGCACGAAGTACTCACATACTGCAAAGTAATAATGTTGGGACTCAAACGACAATGGCGAATCAAATGTAAATTGAATAAAATATCAAGAGCTCATGAGGGTAAAACTTTAGTAGCAATGCGTCACGACTAGTGGTGGCAGATATTGCATGAACTCTTATTTAGTAACCGATATTTCTAAATCACGAATCAAGACTGTTATTAAATACTGTGAAGAAGCGTGACGTGATCACTAGAAACTAGGTGCTTCACTAGCGGCTAAGGTCGGACATGCGAGTAGTATACTACCGTAACACTACTATGACCTGCAAGCGATATCGTGCCTTATACAGGGTGTTCCTTAATAATATGCGAATATTTAAGGGTGTGAATCTACATGAAAAATTAATGTTAGTTTGCTTTATAAACTATGGTCTAAAAATGTTTCCTTACAAAAACTCGGGGTGTTGAAGTTTTAGGAAAAAATGGAAATTAATTAATATTTTCAGAACCGCTTCAGATATTTCACTCATATTTAGTACGTTGTGAAAGTTAATAAAGTTGCATATTTTTCAATTCAAAAATAATCTTTAGCTTCAACAGTGGCGTGCGTACGGGTATTGACTTCGACATTTTTCAAGAAAAAATGGTACGCCAATAGCTTTTTGCCACATAAAAATTATTTTTGAATTCCCCGTTCAATTTAAGACAAATGATCTTTCTTGAATTTTCCGTCGATGCGCCATTTTTGAGTAAAAAAATAAAAACCGTTCTATTGTCCGAGAAAATTAATGTAATAATTGAAGAATGCAATTTAGCAACAAATATCTAGTTGCTCTGGAATATGTCACTGGCTTTTGACATCTGACAAGTCTCTGTTATATACATATGTTCGCTTTTTCATTATTTAGTTTTTTCAATTTTGTTAATAATGGTGAATTATTCAAATGCAGAAATGGCGGAAATGCATTACGTATATGCCCTTTCCGACGGTAATGGTGAGCAAGCCAGACGGATTTATCACCAGAGATATCCCGATCGTGCTTTGCCAGATAGTCGAACCTTTTCTAATATTCATCGTCGTCTTGTTGAAACTGGTTCTGTCCGTAAAGGAAAATCTGAAGGTAGACCTCTAAGTGTGAGAACACCTGAAATTGAGGAAGCAGTGCTGCACGAAGTCGAAGAACATCCTGAAACGAGTACGAAGAAGATCGCTAGACACTTAAATATTTGCCATCACATTGTTTGGAGAAGTTTAGTGGATTTTTTGTTATATCCTTTCCATATTTTAAGAGTACGGGCATTACTTCCCATTGATTTTCCAAGGCGTGTGACCTTTTGTCAGTGGTATCTTCAAAAAATTACACAAAATCCGCAATTTGATTCTGTTCACGGACGAAGCTAATTTTTCTGGAAATGCCATTCAGAATTTCCACAATAATCATTTGTGGGCAGAAGAAAATACCTATGCCGTAACCGAAACCCATTTCCAACACCAATTTTCGGTTAACGTATGGGGGCAGGAATTGATGGTAACCACTTTATTGGCCCATTCTTCTTGAGGGGGCGACTTGACGGACAGACTTACCTCAATTTTCTTCTACAACAGTTGCCTTTGCTGATTGATAATGTTCCATTAGTAACAAGAAACAATATGTGATACATGCATGATGGTGCACCAGCGCATTTCAGTGTAGCGGTTCGTAATTATTTACAGACTGTTTATCCAAATCGTTGTATTGGCTGCGATCCCCAAGAATGGCCACCAAGGTCCTCAAGCCTCTACAGCTTAGATTTCTTTTTGTGAGGCTATCTTAAAACACTAGTGTACTCAAGTCCCATTAACACCGTAGTGGAATTAAGAAAAAGAATGGTTGCAGCTTGTGATAGAATAAAAAACACCCCAGGGATATTTCAACGAGTACGCAATTCCATGAGAAGGAGGTCGGAAGCATGTGCATACTAAGTGAAGGAGGCCATTTTCAACAATTTTTGTAATCACTTCGTTGGTTTTAATTTTATGTTTATGTTGTCAGTTGTTGTTGTTCATTACCCCTGTGTTTAATTTTTCCAATTAAATTAACAATAATTTGGCAAGTTAGACAATGGAACGATTTTTACTTTTTTACTCAAAAATGGCGCATCGAAGAAAAGCAATTCAAAAGAGATCATTTGTTTTAAATTGAACGGGGAATTCAAAAATAATTTTTATTTGGCAAAAAACCTTTGGCGTATCATTTTTTTTAAATATCGAAGTCAATACCCGAACGCATGCCACTGTTGAAGCTAAACATTTTTTGTGCATTGAAAAATTTGCAACTTTATTAACTTTCACTACGTACTAAATATCAGTGAAATATCTGAACCGGTTCTGGAAATATTAATTATTTTTCATTTTTTTCCTAAAACTTCAACACCCAGAATTTTTGTAAGAAAACATTTTTGGACCATAGTTTATAAAGCAAACTAACATTAAGTTTTCATGTTGATTCTTATCGTTATTCCAAAGTCGTGGTATGTCAAGGATTTATCGCTTTTCGTCTCATATTGGATGGTATTTATACGTATCGAACTCTTTTGTTTTTTAATATGTCGAAAACATCCTGCAGAACAAAGTTTTCCCAGTTGTTACACCTCTTAGTACAAAGCTCTTATTCGCTAACCGTAACCTCTTTATACAGAACACAGTGTTAGAAAATTTCGTCAGAACAATTTAAGCATATTAGAATATGAAAGATGTTAATATATTCATAGGCACAAATGCTACCTACGTCCAGTGGCGTGTATAAGTGGGGGGTGACATGCCCCCCGCTAACGGTACAAAATGCTTATTAGGTTCTGGGCAATTTTTACTTGAACTATTACTTTGTCATGACATTGTAAAAGCGCATGATGTAAAGATTATTTATGCATTGTAAAATTTGCAAAATATACTAAGTGACATATAAATCCGAACACCCAGTTTAAATGATTTTATTTTAATAAAATTTTGTATAAGTACTTAATGAAGCATAATAAGTAAATGATAAAAATTTCAAAATGATTGCACTGCTTTAGAGCCCTTTGACCTTTAATAATGTGCGGATGCACCCTGATGTGCTTCGCATTCTCCAACGCGCCTAAGCATGCTTCTGATCAGGTGGTCAATGTCCCCCTGTGGTATCTCATTCCAGGCAACCACCAACTCCTCTCGAAGTGCTTCTAGAGTCTGAGGAGGACGTTGCAAATTGAGCAATCTCCTACCCATCATATCCCAAACGTGCTCAATTGGGGATAAGTCGGGAGATCTTGGTGGCCATGGTAACAATGTGACATCATTATGTTGAAAGAAGTCTGTTGTGACTCTTGCAACATGTGGTCGGGCATTATCTTGTTGGAAAGTTGGATCTGCCAGGGTGTCAAGATAGGGTAAAGGATGGGGTTCTAGAACTTCGTGGATATAACGCTGCGCGTTCATGTTACCTCTGATGAAGATTAAAGGTGACCTGGAAGCATAAGCTATAGCACCCCAAACCATAAATGCAACAGTGTGATGAACATGTCATTCAACAAAAAACTGTGGATTCCTCCTTTCACCACGTCGCCTTCTAACCCTGGCGCGACCATCGGGAATGCCTAAACAAAATCGAGACTCGTCACTAAAGACAATACTGTTCCATTCCTGATCCCAGAGTGACCGTTGTCTGCACCACTCAAGGCGATTACGCCGGTGTTCTCGAGTTAAAGGGAGGACCCAGTGTGGCCGGTATGAAAACAAGCCAAAACTTCTCATTGGTCGGTAAACACTTCGCATGCCAATAGGTCTTCCGTGTTCTGCAAACCATTCATTTGCAATGGACCTGGTAGTGGAGAAACGGTCCCTTAAGGCCAATAATCTTAGGCGGCGATCTTGACGGTCTGTTGTTCTACGGCGGCGTCCAGTGCCCCTTGCTCTTTGCGTACGGCCTTCTCGAAGCCATGCCTGACAACACCTAACCACAGTGTCACACTCTAACTGCAATTGCCCGAAAAGAAAGTCCAGCTTCCCGAAGTCCCACTATACGGCCCCTATCAAACTCACTAAGTTGACGAAATCGTACAGGTCTCCGTACTTTAGGCATCGTAACCGATCGTAAAGGATGTCAAGAACCAAAATCCGCCAATGTTGATTCTTTACTGCGGCTGAAATATTCATTTTTAGAGCGTTAGTGAATTAAAAAAAAGCAGTATAAAAACCGGAATGTCCAACTGATAAGGCTGAAAATGTTTTCACTTGTTATTTACAGTAAGATAAATACATTCACCAACTTTTATTAAAATAAAACCATTTAAGCTGGGTGTTCGGATTTATATGTCACTTAGTATAGTAGGTAATTGACATGTTTTTACTTTGGCAATTGAAATGCTTTGGAACTGAAGGGTACCGACCTTCGATATCAATATTTCAACGTTGGTAAATTATTTATCCGGTCCCAGGCGTAGAGCCCAATAGATTAATTCCAGCTACGGACCCCGAGACACTGTGACGTTTTTATTTTTTTTCTAGCTTTTCGATCAGGCCGTGGTATGTATGAGAAATTTTTTGTGTGATTTTTTCAAACTCGTATTTGGCAGCCTCGAATATCTTAAACCTATTTTTGAAGTTTTAATAGTCATTGCATACCGCATAGAAAGACAAACATAGACATGTATTTTGTGATAAAAAAATTTGCATGTTGATGCTATGTTCAAGCTCTCTATGTGGTTAACAACATTTTTGGCACTATTTTTAGAAATCCATCAATTCGAGAGATATAAAAGGATGCATAAGAGTTATATTATTTCCACTCTATAAAAAAAATTAAAAAATAACTATGTAAATCCCCCCAGAAAAGCACGCAAAAACTAATTGCCGGTTTCTTGAAGGAAACATGACGTTCCTTTCGACATTTCTTGTAGCCTGCCATAAAAGTCTCCCCCTCTACCCCCTCATAAGGGGGTTAAATTTTACTAACAAAATTTTGTAACACCCTGTATAAACGTAAACGTACTTGATGATTATTATGATTTTGCTTTCTAGGCGGTCCTCTGCTATATTTTAATGAAGGAAAGTAAAATAGCTCCACGTTTATACTTGTTGCACAGAAATATCCAAATCCATTCAGATGTTACTATTTATACAATGTCGGATGTATTAAACTTGGGCGATCTGCCAAAAGTTCTCGGTTTTATGATACTCCACATATACGTATACTTTGTGATTAGTGTACGATATTGAGTTTTAACACCTATTGCTATCTTCCTAGTAGTGTATAACAACTTGTGAGAGCTGGATAATGTTTAATTGCTATAACATTACGAGTCGTAAGATCAAGAGGCTATAGACGTTTTATGTTGTGATGAATTGGCTCGGTATGGGCTTTTTGATACTGTCTTTCGTCAATTTCACAGGATATTTTGATGATCTTGAATTCAAACAAGAGTAATCCTCCAGTGGTTTTCTCTCATTATCTCCCATAGGTCGACTAGCTTAGCGGCAACTTTTGAAGGGCAGATATCATCGAAGGTATATAAAATACACATATAGGGTGAGATTTCCGAGAGTTAGTTACAAAAATTGTAGCCGCTGAGTACAGAGTAATTCATAACTATCCATATATATGTAAATATTTTTTAAATGAAACACCCTGCATATTTTAGTATAATTTGAAAGACCTCTTCAAAAGAGAATGTCTGACATAGCTACAGAGTTTGGATCGCTATTTTTGCAGCTACTGGATATTTTGTAAGGAAAGACAGATTGTCTTTTGAAGATAGAGTGCAAACTTTTCGTCAAAATTGTCATATAAACGTCTTTTAGATTTTGTGCATCACCTATAACAGTAACATGTATATTTTCTCGAAATATATAATGAATAGGTAATTTATTTTATATATAGATTTATTGAATAGCTTGCCTAGCAATGGGAAAAACTTGTGTGCTTTGGTTTTTACAGACTCGGAAAAATTGGGAAACTTCTAGACACCTGAGATCAATACGAGATGTGTAGATTTTATGACCGCTTTATTTGTAGTGAGATTGCAAAACAAAGGAGGTGGGCTGATAAGAGCCATTTTTCGCCCGTCAGCGTATAGATATGACAAATATATATTTAACAAAGAAGAAAACATACTTATTTCAAATGAAAACTGAATTTCATGGTATAGCATATATTACGTATTTTTGGATTGATGCGCTCACTGAACCAAAAAAAAATACTCATATACAAGCTTATAATAAGTAGACTCACTGAGCATTTAAGCTAATGTGGTTCATGGAACGCTTCGTAGGCAAAACATGAGTCAAAAATCGAAAAACATCAAAAATGCACAAAATGCTAAATACTCTATTTCTTGGCAATAATTTCTGAAACATATTACATTATTTATACCGTAAATATTATGTAATGAAAAAATACACGTCTTGAAGTTCACAGATAAATTCCATAATAGTGTGGAATCGAACTTTTTATTTTTGAGTGTGTTATGGGCGAGAAATGGCCCTTATACCTCCTTTCACATTAACATTGCGACTTTTTCTTCTCTACAAGATGGCATAATTAGAATTTAAATATGAGATTTTATCTCTTGTCCTCCAGAATCAACTTTATTTTTCCTCATAGACGCCATATTGGATTTTTGCACAGATGAAAATAATTTTAATTTTGATGTTGCCAAACCTTAGTTATTTGAAAAAGTGGAACTTCCTAGGTATGCTTCGAAATTATCATTTGCTTCGCGTGCCAGATTTAACCCAAAATCACTTATACTCAGTGACTTTATTTGAGGTGAGATTCCAAAATAAATTGCTTGTTAACATTGCCACTTTTTCTCATCTACAAGATGACATAATTCGAGTTTCATCGTTTCATCTCTTGCCCTCCAGCATTAACTTTATTTTTTCTTATAGAAGTAATATTGGATTTTTGCACAGATGAAATTATTATTATCAATTGTCATACATTGCATTGCCAAACCTTATTTATTTCAGAAAAATTGTTCTTAGCTAGCCCTTGAAAATATCAGATTTCATTAATTTCGTGTCCCAGACCAGACCAAATTGAACATATATACAGGGTGCTCCTTAATGATATGCGAATATTTAAGGGTGTGAATCTACATGAAAAATTAATGTCCAAAAATGTTTCCTTACAAAAACTCGGGGTGTTGAAGTTTTAGGGAAAAAATGGAAATTACTTAGTATTTCCAGAACACTACGTACTAAATGTCACTGAAATATCTGGAACGGTTCTGAAAATATTAATTAATTTCCATTTTTTTCCTAACACTTCAACACCCCGAGTTTTTGTAAGCAAACATTTTTGGACCATAGTTTATAAAGCAAACTAACATTAATTTTTCATATAGATTCACATCCTTAAATATTCGCATATCATTAGGGAACATCCATAAATACTCAACTTTGGCCTCATTTATGCGACTTCATATCCAGTTTCCGAGATCCAACCAAATGGTAAGGGTCGAATTTGAAACAACCTGTATATATAATGTAAACGTTTATAATCGGCCTTTTGATCAGTGAATGGCATGCTTAGTGTAGTGTTAAACACGATGCACATTGCACATGTTACACAAATCAGATCATTGACCTTTTCCGTAAATACGGAACATATTTTACAGTTTGATCGTAGGACTGAAAGTAGAACAGCTTTTTCCAGGTCTCAAGTTTTAACTGTGGGTAGAAAATGTACTTACTTTCACAATGCACCGACTCACTATCATCCAATCTTTTGCGGCAAACGTTACAAAACTTTCTTTTATGATGAAAAGGTTCGGACCAGCAGTGAGCAACAGGGTTCTGAAAATAAACAAAACATTAGGCAAACTAAAATCAATTTTATGAAGATAAAAATCAAACTCAATTTTGATATTTGATAATTTGGCGATAAAAAAGTGTTATTCTCATATGTCATAACATAGGTTGTAAATCTAAGTTTCCAAGAACTTGTTATAGTAGCTAACATAAACACTGTTAAAAATTCCATCGGCCATGAAATATTGCGATATGTCTATGACTTGAACGAATATAATATAGTTCACGCTGTTCCATTCAGTAGTTAATTGTAATCAAGAATGTAATTCAAGAATTATATCAAGGCCAATTGTAACAAATTAGAAGATATGATGCATTTTAGTCATCATTTCAGTACCGTCAGTATCTGATATATCAATATAGTTAGATTTGATTCTTTTATCTCTCCCACCCAAAGACAGGCAACCGTGGACAGCTGTTTTGTGCTTCTTGGCTACTCATCAGCATGGTCTAGGCTTGGTCTCTGATCTCTGGTCGAACGTTTATGAAAATTAAAAAATTTGACGTTCTTTTCATTACTGTAATCCTAATTATTCTTATGAACGATTTTATTGAAGGTTCAGTTTGCCAAACGTTATTGGAAAATGGATATCTGGTATACTACCTTGATTAGGGTGGCAGCAATACTGGAACAAGGAGAAACGACAGTCTTCAGGCAGCGATCGTGTACCACAAAGTTGCAAACTGAAATAAAATAATTACGGATTAATAAAATTGCTTCTTACGTTTTTCATATTTCCCACCACTTCAAATTAATGATTATTTTAATACAGTTATGTCATGTAGATAGTAATAATGTCAGGCCAGGTAACTGAGCCACCTTTGGGCCTTTTTGCCAACTATAGACAACGGGACATGAACACTAAAGCTAACAACACAGCTAGCTTGTCGGTAAACCTGCCAAATTTTCGAACCAAGCTCTGCAGTGGAACGCTGTTAGATCTGACCCTCGGATATGTATTAAAACGTTTACCTATTAACATTGTGCGCTTTTTGATTTCAAATTGTTTTTATTATTTTCAACTTACCAGCTGATCGATCTTATCAAAGTCGACAAACAACTTTCTCAATTTATGTATTTTACGGCTTTCTTACAGACACTCAGGATGTTCAAGTTAATTTCTACTAATATTGCTATTTTTAATTTCTCTTGGAGCACATAAGTGACTTTAGGCCCGTATCGTCAGTCGTCCCTACAATTGTAGGGCGCGTTTATGGCCTCCTTGGTTGTCATACTCCTTTCTCTCCTTCAAAAATTTCTAGATTACACTTGTCCCGTGTCAGCGTCAGCGCTCTCCTATTGTGAAGATATGTTTTCTTTTTAAATTGTATTAAATTTCAGGCTGATAAAACATGATATAACTCAAAAGTAAGCACAATTTGATGCAAATAGATGTTTGTGACATAACCTCAAAATAGAGTTCTGACACGGAGAAGTAGAAAACTATGACAATCAAGGAAGCCATAAAGTCGTCCTATAATTGTAGGGACGACTGACGATACGGGCCTTAGTCTGTATTGGTTATATCTCACGTGTGACAGTATCAAAGTTTAACCCAGTACTTGTACCAAGAACGCCACTGGTTTCTTTGTGGGTACGACCAAGAGAGTTTGTAGCTATAAAATTGGAAACTCACAGAAATAAACTGGAAGGAGTGAAATGTTTCTTGGTCATAGGCGGAGTTAGAGGGGCATGAGGCGATTGCCTCCACAAGTTTCATCGCCAAGCATCAAGAAAAAAGTTGCGACATTCGTCACGCTTCTGAACCCCCGAACAAACTTTCTCTAACTCCGCTCATGCTCTAAGTCGCTCGCAATCCATCTGGACTCGTGCAAAGTTTCATCGCCAAGCATCAAGAAAAAAGTTGCTACATTCGTCACGCTTCTGAACCCCCGAACAAACTTTCTCTAACTCCGCTCATGCTCTAAGTCGCTCGCAATCCATCTGGACTCGTGCAAAAGGATACATCTCGCAGATTTCGATCCACATGAAGACATATATATTCCAGTTTCCATATAGTAAATGTGCCTCGCAAAACTTTGTTGTTGTGCTCATGTCCGCATGAATAAGTCTATAGGCATCCAGTTGTATTCCCACATTTCTGTTTAATTCTGGCAGTTTCATGATTTGGTGATTTTTTTAGCAAAAACCTTAAATTGCTTGTTTACAAGCAGGAAATTCCTGAAATTCCCTTGACCGCGCGGTCGTGCTTAGTTAAATCCCGAAATACCCTGTTATAATTTGATAGCGCCGCTGCTGGTATAATTGAGTCAAATATAACGAATAAATTTATTTTATTTATTTAGTCCAATGATGTCTATTGTCGATACACATGGTTTCATCCAAATCACTCATGTAAATTAAGAGAAAATGAAAATGTGAAAATTGAAAGGGATGAACTTGAACATCCTATATCTTAGTAACCACGTCATAAAATATTTTAATAAAAGTTAGTTAATGTATTTATCTTACTGTAAATAACAAGTGAAAAAATTTTCAGCCTTATCAGTTGGACATTCCGGTTTTTATACTGCTTTTTTTTAATTCACTAAGGCTCTAAAAATGAATATTTCAGCCGCAGTAAAGAATCAACATTGGCGGATTTTGGTTCTTGACATCCTTTACGATCGGTTACGATGCCTAAAGTACGGAGACCTGTACGATTTCGTCAACTTAGTGAGTTTGATAGGGGCCGTATAGTGGGACTTCGGGAAGCTGGACTTTCTTTTCGGGCAATTGCAGTTAGAGTGCAAAGAAGTGTAGACACTGTGGTTAGGTGTTGTCAGGCATGGCTTCGAGAAGGCCGTACGCAAAGAGCAAGGGGCACTGGACGCCGCCGTAGAACAACAGACGGAGAAGATCGCCGCCTAAGATTATTGGCCTTAAGGGACCGTTTCTCCACTACCAGGTCCATTGCAAATGAATGGTTTGCAGAACACGGAAGACCTATTGGCATGCGAAGTGTTTACCGACCAATGAGAAGTTTTGGCTTGTTTTCATACCGGCCACACTGGGTCCTCCCTTTAACTCGAGAACACCGACGTAATCGCCTTGAGTGGTGCAGACAACGGTCACTCTGGGATCAGGAATGGAACAGTATTGTCTTTAGTGACGAGTCTCGATTTTGTTTAGGCATGCACGATGGTCGTGCCAGGGTTAGAAAGCGACGTGGTGAAAGGAGGAATCTACAGTTTTTTGTTGAAAGACATGTTCATCACACTGTTGGAGTTATGGTTTGGGGTGCTATAGCTTATGGTTCCAGGTCACCTTTAATCTTCATCAGAGGTAACATGAACGGGCAGCGTTATATCCACGAAGTTCTAGAACCCCATCTTTTACCCTATCTTGACACCCTGGCAGATCCAACTTTCCAACAAGATAATGCCCGACCACATGTTGCAAGAGTCACAATAGACTTCTTTCAACATAATGATGTCACATTGTTACCATGGCCACCAAGATCTCCCGACTTATCCCCAATTGAGCACGTGTGGGATATGATGGGTAGGAGATTGCTCAATTTGCAACGTCCTCCTCAGACTCTAGAAGCACTTCGAGAGGAGTTGGTGGTTGCCTGGAATGAGATACCACAGGAGGATATTGACCACCTGATCAGAAGCAAGCTTAGGCGCGTTGGAGAATGCGAAGCACATCAGGGTGCATCCACACATTATTAAAGGTCAAAGGGCTCTAAAGCAGTGCAATCATTTTGAAATTTTTACCACTTACTTATTATGCTTGGTGGTTGACTGGGATGAGATACCACAGGAGGACATTGACCACCTGATCAGAAGCATGCCTAGGCGCGTTGAAGAATGCGTAGCACATCAGGGTGCATCCACACATTATTAAAGGTCAAAGGGCTTTAAAGCAGTGCAATCATTTTGAATTTTTTATCATTTACTTATTATGCTTCATTAAGTACTTATACAAAATTTTATTAAAATAAAACCATTTAAACTGGGTGTTCGGATTTATATGTCACTTAGTATACATACGTTTACAAGAGCGTTTGGGTCATTTTATTGAGATCGATCAGCTGGGATATTATAAGTCTTGATAAACGTATAACATAAATAAACGAAATTTTAACGAAATCAAAAGCAAGTGAAAATTAAAAATGGCATAGAATTAATAGGTCAGCTTTTAATATACAGTATTTTGAACGCATTCTAAATATCAAAAAAATCAATTTCAGGAGACCCGAGTTTACGTATAGAGCTGAAGCCCAGTATTCGAAGCTGTCGGTGAGTAGGAGAAAAGAAGACTAGCAGCGACTTTCCCTCTGATGAACGACCTGGAGGTTATCACTGCTTGGAGACACAACAATCTAATACAGTTCAATGCTTCCAAAACACAGTTTTGCACAGTATTGCAACGCCCTAGAGCTCATCCGGTTTAGATGGATGGCTGGGTTTTACCAAATAGTCGTTCGACTGGTCGGAATACAGATCAAGGACTTGATTTGGCTTGAACACATCTCATCAATCGCTGGGAAAAAGCTAGACTATTTGTTTAGGGCTAAGAAGTACTTTTCTCTATATAACCTCCCCGCTCTGTAGAAGGCCCAGATAAGACTTAGTCTCGAGTACTGATCACAGGTTTGAGGTGCTGCCGCCTTGGCTGCATTAGCCATACTCGATTGCTGTTTAGACGGGGGCTGTCCGACTGATCGCTTTGGCTCTATTCTGCCGCTATTTCAACGTGCTTTACTACTCAGAACTTTCATCCATGATGTCGCGCGATGAGTATTCCTGACGCCCACCCATCCCAACCGTGTCTAACTTCGCACATCCTTAACTGGGCAGTATGACCGGTCCTTGTCCGTAGATTATCGAGATTGAGGACCAATCTGCTTGAGGAGGCTTTTCCCAGTTCTACTAACCTTAGGCAGTTAAAAACCTAGTATCTTCAAGCTCCACATAGCAGCCGCGATATTCAGGCTTCTGCTTCTGCCTACGCGGAGACTTCAGTATTCAAAAATAGCTCCACGTCTTTCACAACAGCTAAACTTTCAAGTGTTGCGATGGACTGCATGAAGTTTAACAAACAGCGACGTGAATGCGAGCTGGACCAGTCGACTCGTATTGAGAAATTTGTTGTTTTTTTTTCGATCTTAACACACTCCAAACAACAGAACATTACTTTGCGTATAGCCTCTTAACGCAATATTTTCGTAAATATTTGCGTTATACGTATGTGCGTTTTGCGTTCCCATGATATAATCAAAGCGATCCGTATCCTATAGATATATGAATGTGTACACGCCCCTGTCCTAGATCGGATCGCGCTTTGACGTCACAACTAATATACTTTTGTATATACATCAACATCACACAGCTCCCAACGGGATCCTTTCCTTGGTCTCTTACACACGGCCTGTTGCTGTCATCTGCTCAGGGCCGTATTTATTTTTATCGAAAAAACGATAATTATGTAACTGTCTTCGTCGCTCTAGGCTTTATAGATCCATGCTAACGTCCATGTCTAAGTCAGGTTCGCGTTTAAGGTTTTACCAATGCAAAAATCGGAGGTAAAATATTTACCCAACCGCTAGTCCACCAACTACTCATAGCACGACTAGTAGCGACTGAATCGGGATGTATGTCAACCACGCTCAGTTCACACATATAATAATAATAATAATAATAATAATAATAATAAATTGCTTTTATTGTTCATG